TTTTTTATATAAAACTACCAATTTTGTGAGGGATATTTACTGCTGTTTTGAACAACATTCAGCCCTTATTTGGCTCCATTTCTTATAATTAATTTTTCCAAAATTTTTTTTCGATCTCATATGATTCACAACTTTTCAACATTATTTGGAATTACTTTCCCTTAAATAATTTTGGTATTGATGATGAGAAATTTTATGAACAATGCTATAGTTACAGATTTTTTTTTTAATTTTTAAACATAAATCATACAAATGAACATTTCTCAGATTATAATTGAAAGATGACCAAAAATACAAAACAAAAGCAGCCATACAGATGTTGCCGACAATTTCTTTTATTTTTTTTCACCTGTACTTGCAGAAACATTCAAATTTAATTTATCCCTAGCATGGGCGAGGGGGTAGGCTGAGCTTATATTTCGGGACCACAAGTAGAAGCTATAGAGGACCCAAAAGAACAGCTTTACCAACTTTTCTTATTGTTGCCTTTCTCTTTAGAAAAATGATAAATTTGGCTCGAAGAATGCGACCAAGCAAATTTCTAAGCCTTTGTTTAAGAAGAATTTATAAATAAATAAAAATAAATGATATATAAGTGAATGGTACTTATTAGTCCATTAAAACGTGAGTCTTGTCAAACGGAGAGTAAAGTTTTAAAGGTATAATGATAATCGAGGTTTTAAAAAATACGAAATATGACAAGATGGTAATGTCAAATATTACGAATTTACAAGAAAGACATTTTTCTATTTTTAATATTCATATTCTAAGAACATTGATAATTAGTTTAGTAAGACGATTAAAAATTAATTCTTTTATTAAATAGCTTATTAACATTTAAAAAGATATAAAAAATTCGACAAAAAAAATAAAAAGCACCACCTAGACTCGCAATAAGTAGTATAAAAATAGAGTTAACCACCTTTTTCACGCCTTCCTTTTATTCAAGGCTTTTTCCTCACGCCGAGACTCCATCCTTCCTACCTTTCAGAGCACGATTGGTATTACAAATAGAAACCTAACGAGTACCTAATTGTTACAAACTACAAAAATTTGGGACTTAAATGACAACATTTAATTATGAGATGTTCCTTAGTTATGATTTTACTAGTTTTAAGATCAATTGTATCGTTGCCATTAAGTCCTTGTTTGGTATAAATTAAAAATATATTTTTAGTAGATTTTAGTCCTTATTGGTGGTGAATTAAAAATAATTGTTGATAGAAGTTTACAGAATATGTGGTTGAAAAGTTGTAAATCTCATAAAATATGTGATTAAAAATAATTGTAGACTTTAACTTATACTAAAATTATACTTTAATTCATATAAAAAATGTGAACTTAATAAAAATTGATGAAATGTGTGAATAAAAAATTGTAAATTTCATAAAATATAATTAAAATAAATTATTAACTTTGATTTAAAATTTTAATTTTTACAAAGCATGGACTAAAATTTTCTGTAGGGCGTCCTCTTACCCCAACCAACGTTCACACTGCCAATAGAAAAAAGTAGGGGTGGATGAAAACCGTCGAATCCAAATATAATTATGGAACTGTTCGGATTCGGTTCAGTTCGGTTCGATTTCGTTCGGTTCTGTGCTATAATTAAATTTTTTAACATTTATAACAACATTATATAAATAAAACTAATGATACATTCAATGATTTTGAAATGTCAGAGACTAATAGATTATCTTGTTCAAATGATCATTACGGTCAAAGTTTCGATCGGCGAAGGTCACAGTTTCGATCGAAGGTCATAGTGTCGGCTGGCTATTGTATAGATTTTGAAATATTAGCGAGGCTGCGAGAGTGAGTGTGAGAGTCGAGACAACGTTATGCACTTTAGTGTAAGTATTTATGGTTATTTAATGGATTGTATTTTGTTGGGCTAAGAAATGAAACAATAAAATGGGTAATTGGGCCAAAAATTAAAAAATTAGAAATGAAACAAATTATTAGGCCAAAAATTTGGATTTAGAAAATTTTAATTTGTTTAGAAAAAATTAAAACTAAAATAATTTGATTTACTCAATATAAAAAAAAATTAGAAAGATTCGGTTTTTATTCAATTCTTCGGTTCTTGGTCTAGAACCGAGAACCGAATAGTATTCGTCGGTTCTCAATTCAGATATCCATTCGAATATTTAATTTGACAAGAACCGTCGAGTTCGATTTGAATTTGATTCAATCGATTCGATTCGAAAGATTTGTCCAATCCTTTAAAAAAAGCATAAACAAACGCGGAAACGTCGTACGACAATGAATGACCAAATATAAAAGCACAAAAAAGAAGACATCACATGCTAAGATTTTCTCAAATCGTCCTTTTTTTTTTTTTTGTCTTCGGTCTTCTGTTGTCGTCACTTCACTTCTTTCTTTTTCACACGCAACACTTCTTTCCTTTTCATACGCAATTTATGATTATTTTATAAATTCTTCCAAACCGAATCAATTTTTTATTATTTTTACACGGATTGTCGTAAGACCAGGTTGATTGATCCATTTTCCATCATTTTTGTGTATTTGATTGCAAGAAATTTTCATGGAATTTGTTTTTCAAATTTTCTCCACGCATGTGTCATTTCCATGGTTTTGTGGAAAACCAATTCTCACCATTTGTCCTTTTTTCCAAATTTTTTTTAAAAATTTTTGTTTTTTAATAGTAATTAGAACAAATTTTATCACCAATTGTAACAAATTTTGTCCATTTAATTGATAATTTCAATAAAAAAACAAAGTCAAACAAATACCAAAAGATAGAAAATTTCAACATTTTTCAGGTGAAAAATTATACCAATCAAAAATATTAATTGACAATTCTCAAAAAAAAAAAAAAAAAAATTCTAAGTAATTCAATTATCTAAAATTCGTTTTTTTTTTCACTAAATTCCATCATTTCAATCAAACGGGCCCAAGTGATTTTGTCCAATATAAAGCTAACAAATGTGAAAGTTCAACTCTTCAATGGAAAAAGTTGGATACTTAAGTTGAAAAATTTAAAAGTTATTTAGGCCCTGTTCTTTTTACCGTTTTCGGGTCGTTTTCTATTTTCGATTTTTCAAAACGGTGAAAACGTGTTCTCTTTCCCGTTTTCGAAAACGTTTTTGAAAACGAAAAAAAATTTGTGAAGAAAACACAAAACGACTTTTTTGTCGTTTTGGGCGTTTT